TCCCGCCGGGTTCCGCCGAGAAGGCCGTTGGAAGCTTGGGTTGGACATGTTTTTTCGGATACGATCAGTAGGTTTCATGTCCAACTTAACAAGGCCAACGCTCCCGTACTCTGGTTCGGCCAGCCTTCGTGCAGCACTCTCCTTTTCGTACTGTTGCTGTTTCCTCCCCAGAACAAGCTGTTCTTTCCACAGAGCAACATTTCGGTCCGAAGCACTTTTTCAGATCCTAGCGCCCTTTTCCACATGCCATCTTGTAAGCTGTGCCTGGCTAAAGCACTTCGAGTCCGGAAAGCCCGGCTCATGGCATGGACACCAAACGTGCAAATCCCAACCTTACCGTAAGCGCGATCTGTTCCCGTCCACATTCGAGGTCCTAGCAGAGGCTGCTGCCGCTGGCTCCGCGGCGATCCGGACACTGTGCTCAGGTCACGAAAATGCAGAAGCGTCTCAAAGTAATTCTGCTTGGCAACCATCGAATGAGTTTGAGGAATACATCGCGCAAGCCCAAAGCCCCTCACCCTGAATCGCTAAACCCTGCAAGACGAAGTCAACCAGAAGGCCCTTCAGGCACAGTCTCGATCTTGACGAGTATCAAGATTCGCCGACAACACCTTGTTCATTAACTTTCGCGATGAATTCTGAATTTGCGTGATGTTATAAGGGCTGGGTAGGGCGTTTGCCGTGGGTGTTGGGTCAACGATCAAGCTAGGTGCAAGTTGTACCAGCATAGCAGCCATATGCCAGTAAGTCGGGGTTGTCCGCATGCCGCGGAGGACAAAAAAAGAATAGATGATTACCCGAGCCCATGCAACCCCGCACCGCATTCCCTGCAGTCTATTATAATCAACCCTCGTGCCGGAGGTGGGCTGCCAAAATTGAGGGCCTTTTTGCGGCCTGATGGTTCCAGAAGTATTGTTGAGGGAGAGTCACATAATCTTCCCTTATAGCCCCCATACAACACATCCTGATCCGAAACCCAAATGAGTTTTATTTTCAATGGCAGCCTACATTGTTTTAAACATTTTGACGTTGGTCAGATATCCTGGACATCATGCGCTCTGTGTGTAAAACGAGATATATCCCTCCAACAAGCGAGATCAGCTATATGTGTTGCAGCTCAATTAAGGCCCGGTGGACATCTTGCACGGCAAGAGGGTAGCAGGTTCTCAGTTGAGTCCAGTCCTAGGAAAACGAGATGTTCCGTGGCAAAGCAAGTGAAATCGGATCAACCAAAGTGCAGAAGGAGTTTGGGACTGTTGAGCATGTGCCAGGCAAGAACTTTCCACGCTGCTCATTTGGGCCCCTGTAGGTTGCTTGATTTTCTGGTGTCCTTCTTCGGATTCCTTTGCCATGGGCTCCAATCAGAGCTGCTGCTGCGACAAGATCCTCGTCTAAGTCATGCTGGTGATTGTCAAAGTGTGGTCCTTGTTTGGGCAGTACATAGTGTTAAACTGGCCACAACTCTTGGAACCCCGCCCACTTGATGATTTTTGTGCACACTGCGATTTCGGCAAGCCTTTCATGCGGTTGCAAGCTGTCGCGAGCTTCTCAGTAGGCCAAATCTTCGACAGTCTACAGGTCTCGACAGTGTAGGAACGAAGAGAACACTAGGAATGACACTGCTAGTTGTAAGGTGCTTGAAGCAGGCGACTGCACGGTCCAGTCTTCAAAGTCCTGACATACATGTATGTGTATAAACCCATGTGTATGTATGCACATGTGTAAGCACATACATACATGCATGCATACGTACATACATATCTACATATGTGCTGAAGCGTTGGGAGTGACCCCGGATTCCAAGAGTGCTTTGGGGCTGGACAGGGCAATGGCATGAGTGTGGATCCAAGCTCACCCAGTCCAGCGACTGGAGGTAGGAGGTCCGCATTGTGATGTCTTGGGGGTTCGCGCCAAAGACGTGTCAGAGAATCCGCAAACCCAAAATCTTGCTGTAGTTCGTGAAACCTTACAACCCCGCGTGACCCTGACCCGCGAGCCCGTAGTGTGGAAAGGAAACAGGAGGATGGGCCCATGGAGATGGTGAAAGCTCAGCCGCTTCTTGCCTGGACAGTAAGGGTGTGTACTGACATACCGACGGCGGGCATCTGTCCCCGGAACAGACTGGCACAGGATTGTTTCAAGAACATAACATGTGGGCTTCTCAAAATTTGGGGCCCTTTAAAACTTGGTGACTGCAGGAGTACAGGGTCCCCGTTCAGGATTATCTAGAGATGCTGGGGCCTAGGGAGCATTTCGAGAAGTCCTCAGCTGATTCTGTGGCTACCCATCTGATCACCAGCCAATCTGAGCACAGAATTCAGAACCGGAGCCCGAAACTTTGAGCCGGGAACCCTTCATCTTCATGCATGCGCCTTGTAACAATCCTTAGTTTAAGCATGATTGAAAGCTCTTACCTCGGGGTCTGCGGGGGTGTTCTCATGATCACAGGATGGAGACCTACAGCGGTTCAGGTGACTTGCCGTCCACGGAGGACCGAGGATGCAGGGGGCGCTCAAACGGTTTCACGAGCATGGCTTTGGGTTTGTCAGGCGGCGAGTCGCCAGGAGGTTCATTTATGGCGGCCCGAGAGGATTTGATAGGATTTGTGTCAATTTCGGGGGTTAGTATGAAGGGTAGGTACGGCATGGACATGTCTGGAGTTTTGGGTTCAGGGCTTGAAGCTTGCGGGTGAGCCGCTACCTGTTTCTAAGGGAATTTCTCATGATCTTGTACAAGACCTCCCCTGTATGATGAAAAACGATGGAGTGCACAGGGTTCGAGACGAATGAAGGAGGTTACGTCAGGCATTTTCAGTATCTATTCTTCTTCGGAAAGGGCATCGAGGACAACATCTCTTTCTTGGGAAGCATTCGAAGAAAAGATGTTGCCTACTCTGAAACTGCTGTGTTGCGTTGCGCACCTACTTCAACTCTTGTCAGATCTGAATGTTTGTATAGGGAGTATAGGGTCATGTGAGGCTGCCTTGCCAGAGTTGTGCAGGGGCAAGACATTTCGTCCGAACCTTTTATCCCAAGCCAGAAACTGTGTTCCATCAGGACTATGCATTGCACCTGGACATGTCGAACTTTGTGCGGGGGGCAGTGCGCCTAGGCTCTTCAAGTCTTCAAACGCATTCCCTCGGAGCGACAAGCAAGGCAGGGCAATGAAGTGTATGAGCATGAGGTTTCGTTTCGAACCAGACAGCTTTGGCCCGGCATGTTTGTGCTGGTGACCACGGAGTTTCTGCTAGCGCGAACAGCATGGAGTATCTGTGAACCCCTCCTGCGGCGATCCCTCTGCTCTTGGGCGCGCTCAGGCAAAATCAGCTGGAAGCCATGAAGGTACTGGAGGTTGCGCATCGCTTCACTACACACTTAGCGCGAATGACATGAGTTTATGGCTACACTCGCAGCTTCGCGTTGACACAGCTTTAGTTTGTTGTCCTGTTCTATGTCCATCAGCATCTGTGCGACGGGCTAGCTCACTAGTACATGCCCTCACTGGACACCACACTCCGGCCCCGGAAATGCGAACGACACTGGGCCGGAAAAATAGCATCCTGCTCCGACGAGGACAGGGGCTTCGGGAATGTAGGGATGGATGAGCATGAGGCAGTCTACTGGCGATCTCGAATCTCATTTGTGGATGTTGCTCCAATTTGCTCCGTCACGCCAGCTGCATATGTAGGTGTTGCAAAAGTGGCATTCGCTTGCACTCAAGACACCGCATTTTGCAGCATGCCAGTCTTCAGCTTTTATATTAAAAACTTCCCCAACATGTTTCCACACGCTTTGCATTCAGCTTCTGAACGCCGTGTTGCGTTGTTACTTGTTTAGTGAATCCTCGGGAGTGTGTAGTGATCGAACTCCTGGAAAAGCAGGATTCCCCCCCCCCCCCCCCGTTTCACTTTTCTGGCGCACCGAGACAGGCGACCACGCCACGCACAAGAACAAGATCCCCGAACTCCTGTGGTAAGCCTCATGCCCAAACAACCTCGCTCGCAAGCGCATTAAGCAACGAAGCCGTGCACAAGTCCGAGTCCCATTTGTGTTAGTGCAGGCTCGTTCATCGATCCCGAGAACTATCGCCTAAGCCTTTTGCCGAAATCCGGAAGCCGTGGAACATGAATTAATCGGCCGGAGCCTTCAACCCAAATCAGACCCAACGCCGCAGGTGGACACTGCCATCGTCCGAGGTATCTCGGTGGCCAGCAGCTTGCGCGCCAGTGGACGGCTCTGGCAGAAGTCGCCCGTGGACATGGACATGGTTTGGGATTTTTAGGGGCAAGGGAGGGAACACGGATTTCAGACGTAAGGGTTAAGGCGGTTAAGGGTTCAGGGAAAAATGTACAGTAGGGACTTGGCGCATCTCGAGGTTGAAGATCTAGGGGGATTCGACCCAAATTCAGCTTTGGGTATTTAAGAGTTTCGGGGTTTTGGGATAAGGGGTTTCTTTTAGAGTGCCGGCTTTGTCATCCGATGTTAATTTTATCGAAACTGTGTAGCTGCCTGAATCCACAGCATGGGTGTAGCGGCTTATGAGCCCGAATGTGCCTTCTGCGACGGAGTAACATCGACATCAGCTCCTGCGCGTGATGGAGTTCAGGGTCGTATGTGGATCAAAACCCATGCACATCTGGAACCTCAACGCTTGAGCCTCTACACCTTAAGCCACAGACCCTCAAACACCTACACCTAAAAGCTGAGTTTGGAATTCCTTGAGGCTTTATGTTCTTGGGTTTGGGAGCTTTGGGGCTTTTAGGGGTTCGTTTCCTGCTCTCTGACCAAATGGGAGATTCTCGCAGTAGCCCGATGGGAAATCCTCAAGAGAAACCCCTTGAACGTATGTCTAGGTCACTTGGGGGTATATCTTGTGCATCCTTCTTCAGACCCCTAAACCGTAGAGCGGAAAGCCCTAACCCCGCGCACGCGCGTATCTGGCCACGTGCATTTCTTTTTTCGTTTTTTCGTACCCGGAGAAGGGGTGGGGGGGGGGGGGGG